AGGTTAGAGGAAGCCAGACCCATCAATGATTAGTCTGGTGTCTGTGTTAGTGCATGTTTAAAGTATGTGCATCAATGTGTTACTGCCAGTGTGATGTTTAAGATTCAATACATTATACCTGGATATATTTTGCTGGGAATTTAGAGAAGGACATCAAATAACACAATTTAGATGGTGATAATTTAGAAGATTTACCTTTTTTAAACAAACATTCATAACAATTCTAATCAAACATTTGAACTGGGGCGCCCTGGTGGCACAATGGTTAGGGCACGCGTTCAACATATTGAGACTCTCGTCTCAAGCGGTAGGCCCAGGTTCACTTCCACCCGTGGCCCCTCTCCACATGTCATTCCCCGCTCTCTCTCCCTGGTTTCCAACTCTATCCACTATCCTATCTCTGTATTAAAAAGGCACGAAAATAAACATCAGTTGAGCTAATTTATATATATTAACATTAAATTGTTTATTTTGTCCTACAATCAAAGTTCTGACCTTGACTGACTTGATCCACTCTTTTGTTGATACACTAAGCATTGACATAAAGGCAAGTATTATCATTATAGCATTGTATAGGGGACTCGGTTGCTTTGTCCACTACCTATCATCTTTTTTAAACATCACGTCTGACAGGGATAGTTTCCCACTTTGAGGTGCATATGTGAACAGCCAGGTTAGGAGAATATCTGGAGCAGTTCTCCTGAAATGATTTCAATATTTTCAGTAGTGTGTGTTTCCGAAAACGGCTCATGATTGGCTATTTACTCTACCATCGCTCCCATTTTACACAGAATAAATAAATCAAATATTAATTGTAGAAGTTTTTTTCCCTCTTTTTCTTTTAGTGTTATCACTGTCTCCATAACAGCAGATTGGCATTAAAAGGGCATGGGTGAAATTAACTTGTCTCTGAGTGTGTGTGTTTGGGGGATTGCATTCCAGTCCCAAATCTATTTTGATGAAGTTGGGATGAAAGAGAGAAAACATTCGCTGAAAGGCTCCTATCAAATGCCTGTCATTTCTCCCTCTAACCGCCTAATCCCTGTTGGTGTGTGGTTAAAGTGCTGTCTCGTGTTTCAAACAAACTGTTTGCTTCCTCTATCTTTTTGTCTATCCTCCTATCCGTCTGTGTGTGTGTGTATGTGTGTGTGTGTGTGTGTGTGTGTGTGTGTGTGTGTGTGTGTGTGTGTGTGTGAGAGAAGTTAACCAACCCTCCTGCTGAGCCATAAGCCTCCCTAAAGAGCCAGGCCTCCCATGGATCCCTTTTTCTTGTGTTGTCACTGTTACAGCTAGCTGATGTGTCAAACGAAAATAACCAGAAAACAAGAGAGGGAACCAGAGAGAGATTGAGAGAGAGCAAGAGAGGGAGAGACAGAAAGGAATACAGATGTTTGCATAGGGGATTGGGTAAAATGTGTTGCCCTGGTTTAAATTTTATATTTTAACCCTTTATGCTCATTCAGGTCACTGTCACTGCAAGGGTTTTGTTGGAAAACTTTCACATCAACCATTCCAGAGAACTTTAGCAAGTCATGCAATACACTGCAACCCACTGGCCAGCAGTTTAAAGTGTACCAAAAATGTCTTCAAAATCAAGATCACTGACAGAAGGTCTCAGGAAAATCGTACAAATCCTGTTACAAGAGCTAGATAATGAATAACGAATTTGTCGGCTGTTACAAGAGTTAGATAACGAATAACAAAGTTGTCGGCACAACACCATGTTTCTCAGTTGCACTCCATGATGATCCAGGATTTTCGGCAATTTACCTATTTTCTCTTGGCCTTGGCTTCTTCAGCCCACCTATATGCATTTCAGAATAATCACATTATATCAGTGAGGCATGTCTTATATCTACATAGCTGATACTGACTTCTGAGAGTGTGGTTTGTCTGAACTGCAAAGATCTAATTTGCAAAGTCGACAAACTAATAACAATACCATCTTTGTCACCTATATGCGAGGGAGTAGAAGGCCCAAATTAAGAGTGAAAAAAATCTGAGATTTCGAGTCAAAGTCATAAATTTATGAGAATAAACTCATACATTTATGAGAATAAAGTCATAAAAGAAGTAAGTCATAAATTTATGAGATCAAAGTTGTAAATTAGCAACATTAAAGTCATAGATGCCAGAGAAAGAAGTCATACATTCTTTATTTTAATCTACTCTATATATCAGTAGACCAGCATCTGTCTGTAGAAAAATGAGGAACGTGGAGCATCTTGTGAAGATATACTTTAGTAAAGTTTTCACAAATGATGAAATACTTCCCTCTGTAGTCTGTAACACAGATTGACTGAATATTTACTCGCTGTAGAATGACCTACTTTAAAACAACAGTTTGAGGAGGTCTCAAAATATCTGATTAGTTGTGTTGGGGCTTTACTGCAGATATGAAACTACACATACTTTTGGCACATCAGCATCACATTGTCATAAGTTTCAGGGCCCTGAAAACATACTGTAGGAAAACTGGACTTTCTGAAGTCATACTGACTTAAATTTACGGCTTCATACTATACTATATTTTTACTTTATTCATATATAATTACGACTTCAATCTTGTTAATGTACGACTTTAATCTCAAAGTTTTGGATTTGTTTTTCTTCAATGTGGCACTAATACTCCATCATACAGAAATACATGAGTGTCTCCCCATGAGTCAAATCCAAATAAAAATGTTTTCAACTCAACTGTCAGGGAGTGTTTGCCACTTGTAGTTGTCTAAATGAGAGCTTCTGTTGGGATTTTCAGTAACTGGTATCGCTGTAAATCAGAAAAACAGAGCAGATTTTTATTTTCTCATGTTAATGCAATATTTCTCCGTAGAGACTGTAGAGAAATATTTGATATGGAGACACTTTTTCTGTACATCAAATGATTGTAATTATTAAACTGTAAAGTGCAGGGTTTTTTTAAACAAAAACTTGGTTTTGTGCAAGTTAACACATCTGTTTCATTCAATGTGTTTAAATAGAAAAGAGCCTAATTCCGAATTCAAACCCAAGCTATCCCATAATACTCGCTCTCCCATTAAATGTCTGCTATTGTGTTTTCCAGGGAGCCTCCAGGCAAAAACTTTGGAGGTAGTTTGAGCCAATCAAGCATAGTGTTTTCTGAATAAAACTCAAAGTCAGAGAACCTTAAAACTAAAATAATAAAATAATTCTCTGCACCTGAGTGGATCGATGACAAACTGAACATGAGTTTGCTAAAGTTATACATACACCACGTAGGTGCAGGTCCAAACAAAAACAGCAGAGGGAAGAGGATTTGTTAAAAAAAAAAAAAAAGCATGCTTTAAAAAGAAAAAGTTTTTCCTTTGCAGCGTGGACTCTAGTGGACACGATGTAACTTCTTCAGATTTATGAATGAAAAATAAAATGTGGTTCTGACTGTCCTAAAAAGGAAAAAGGTAAATTTCATTTACTAAACCTGGATCTATTCTTGGAGTTACCTTTGGACCTATTTTCCGTCTGTGTTTTTCTTTATTTTGTTTACTCTTCTGTAACTTTAAAGTGCACAGCCACTAATAGGTTTGTAGGAACCAAACACTGTAAGGACTAGTGAGGAGGACTTTACAGAGGCTTAAAGGTTTCTCAAACAGAGGAGAAAATGACAGAAAAATAGAGAAAAAGGAGAAATGTTCTCCAAACAATAAATGACAGGGATTTAATTTAATATTACAAACTGGATCGTGCAGAAAAATGTTTGTGTCCCCGGAAATGAAAGTAATCACAACATTTAGGTATTTGGCAACAGGGAAAGTGCAGCAGTGATGACCAAAGGTCTGTCACGACCGTCCATCAGCAGGGTGATCACACACAGCGCTATCACAGCCTCTTATTGTGACACAATTGATATACTTTCCATTGGATGTCCACAACCTGCAGGCTCACAAACGGGCATTTGAGTGTAGAGCATGCTGCCCTGTGTAATCGATGGCACGCACATGTGTATTATAGCACCATCAAAAAATGGAGATGTGTTTGTTATTAGAAAAAGGTACTACAGCATCGATGCACAAATTGTTTTCAGCGCGTACTACGAGATCATGGGCATTATTGGGAAATGGCCAGGGTAAACACATGATGCAAGGATACTGTCTGAGAGCTGATTTAGGATGATGATGAAGAGGATGACGGAGATGATGATGACATTCACCCACCACATGGGAGCGACATGGCACAGAATGGGCTAATTACCAGGTGGACGCCATGATGAATGTTTGTGAATATCGACCCTGTTTTTCACTAGTGCAATCCTGTTCCTCTACGATAGAGCGAGAGTCGTACAGAGACTTTCTGAAAAGTCAAGTAACACGTTCAGTATGTTCTGCCTTGCATAATTGAAGTGCTAGGTTTTTTTTAAAGTACGTAACAAATCATGGAGAAGATCAAGGCTAACAGTACTAATTTCAACTGAAATTTGACAGCAGGAATGGGAAACATCCTCTTACAGTATTTTCAGCTTGTGGTGCAATTCAGGAAAACAAAAACACTTTTGCCAAGGTGAGGGAAGAACCTGTATTATGTTAAATTTAAATAAAGTAATTACATTTTCAATATTTAACCAATGGTTTCTGTTTTTGTCTACGTTGCTGTTAGCGCTTTGACAAAACCCATTAAATAGTCATCATGCAATATTGAATTGCAACAGTTTTTAGGTAAACCATTCGGTTTGCAAAATAATGCATATACCTTTCATCATGTTGCTTAACAAACTTAATTAAAATTGTAAGTTTCGTCCAAAGCACATTTAGCTTATAAATACTTTTTTTTATGTTTTATTTAAAGAGGTTTTACTGTGGTAATGTAGGCTATCAAATGCATGAAATACAATGCAGACATTGTGATGCTGATGAGGATAATTAACTTCTTCTCATTATTATTAGTTGTGGTATTAGTTATAGTAGTAGTAGTCGTTTTTTTTCCGACTATATTTATTAAGTAGTTGTTGCAGCAGGAGGGTGGTGGACAGGGGCCAGGCCAGCCCAACACCCGCTGGATACTAACCCTTTCCACGCCTTCCTCATCCCATCAAAGCAGTCTCCTCTCTCCTTCAGTACAGACACACACCGCCAGCTGACACGGTAAGACGTCACTTAGGCTTTTTTATAAATTGCTGTCGAAAAATTGGTACTCCAGCCGCCTATATTTTATTTTAAACTTGTGTCTTTGGATCCCTGGAGTGTGCGCGTCTCTCCCTAAAGCGCGCGTCTCCTTATTAGAGCTGCGCGCGACTTTTATTTCTCTGGAAGCTATTTGTTTAGACTATGTATTTTTTTTTTTTTTATAGGAAAACGGGTTCACAAGATAAATGCGTGCATTGTCACTTGCCACTTGCGTCGTTATATTTACTAACGGCCTTGATGTCTCCATATGTTTGAGGGTTTAAATAAGACGCTATAAAGTGAAACACTTGCCGCGGGGCTCTCTCTCTCTCCCTCAGCTCTCTCTTACACACACCCTCTAGTCTGAAGATTGATCCGTATTTCTTAGGGAACTGGACCTTTTGATCCACTCTTTTCCTAGCTTAAGGCGGAGGCTAAATGCAGATGAAGTCTTGTTTGTTTTCTACCAGACGCATGCCCATTGTGAAAATATTAAATCCATGTCCAAACATTTGTTAGATTTTTTGTTACATCTTGCAATAGCTAGTCTGTCATGAAGTGACAACTGCATACTGGAGTTATTCAAAAGTTACTGAGTCTATTTATGCAGTGTTTAAAAAAGGGATATGCCAACTGCAACACAAGGGGAAAAAAAAAAACCTATTTAATTGCCCTGGTAGCCATGATACTTGAGCCCAATTTAAAGCTCCTGTGAGAAGCTTTAAGCTGTTTTTTTAATGACTAAAATTAATAATAATATATCTTTATGATCTGCATAAGCAAACTAAGAACATTAAATACAAGGTTGATAAATATATAAATTGTAATGCCTGGTATGCCTCTGCTGTGGAAGGTGTCAGATTAACAGCATACTGCAGAAACAACCTTTGTTTACATTTTCCATTGCAAAGATTTACATCGAGTGATACATTTGATTGTTAAAAGAAAGCTAGATGAGATTTTATTTGGGTCTAAAAAGACAACTTGCACAAAGATATAACAGGTTCAACTTTGTCCACAAGGTGTACCAAAATCCTACCGGGAGTTTTAAAGGAGCTCTATGTAAGATATCTACTGAATTAAATCATTAAATGACTTTACTACATCATCAGACATTAAGGAAGCATGCTCTGTTGAAGTGCTGGTTACTCTTGACAACAATGCAACAGCAAGTCTAAGCTCTGTGTTTGTTTTAGATCAGAGAAGGTAGGCGGTTTTGAGACCCTCTATACGGCCTTTTTGGACACCACTCATTTTGCCAAATATGAGACCAGTTATCCCAGCAAACCAACAAGTTTGCAATGGAAGCAGGCAAGCAAACTAGTCCATAAATAACTGATTCTACCCAAATAAAAAAAACATTGGCATTTTTCTGATAAGCTCCACGACCAAAAACGTGGTAAAACTAGGATAAATATTGGAGATGCTTTTGAAAAATGGAGAGAGGTTAGAACACAGTAAGTTTTCAAGACCGTTGCAGAGCTGGTTAAAAACTGAGGCTTCTGTGTCCGCATGCGTACAATTGACTCTGGGTGTGAGGGGGCGGGAGGAGACAGTTCTCTCCAATGTTTTGCAGTACTTGTCAGAGTTACATATTGCTCCTTTAATGAACCCTAAACTAAATTAATTTGAAAGATGTCCGCAATCACAGAATTAAAGAATATAAAGAGAAAAAAAAGTGAAATACAGTAGAACAAAAGTGGTGAAGTTTGGGCTATGCTTGATTTGCCACAAAAATTAAGAGTGTAAGTAAACAAATTAATTATTTAAATCTAATCATCTACAACTGAATGTATAAATATTTTGGATATATTGTTTGTGTTTGTGTTCTTCTCTTCTCAGGAATTTCCATGGCGACAGCCTCTCTGTGTATACACTTCACCCTTCTTCTTCTACTCTTGCCTCATTTCCCAACGGCAACACTCGTCCCTCAGGATGACCTTGTAATCAATACAAAGCATGGGAAAGTTCAAGGGAAGTCGCTGTCAGTGCTTGGTGGTGAGGTTAGAGCATTTCTTGGAATTCCTTATGGAAAACCACCTCTGGGTGAACTGAGATTCAGACCTCCTGAGCCTGTGGGAAGATGGGATGGGCTAAAGGATTCTACCAATTTACCAAAATCCTGTTACCAGGTGCCTGATACAGTGTATAAAGGTAAGATTCATGTTAGTGAGAAAGGCTCCTGCACATCGTCTCGTTTTATGCTGACATATGTATTTGATTGTGCCACGTTTCGTCCAAACTGACCTTCATCAGGTTTAATGCAATATATCTGATGAAGGTCGGTTTACTCTCATCTCCTGTCACACTCCCAGGTGTGAAGAGATTTTTTCAACAAGATTCAGGTTTACACAGTTTGGGCTGATAAAGTACTTGCAGCTGATGATTTTAGTCCAAATGAGGTACAAACATATCACTGGAATATCTCATAGATCTCTAGGTTTGAATTACGCAATTTTATCCAAATGGAGATAATAAATCATCAAAACTGATGCAACATGGCACCAAGCTATCTGTCTGTTACAGCCCGCAACGCAAACAAGCGCCAGCGACAAAATCAGCTTGGTTCTATTGTTTCCTATTGGTGTGTCCTAACAGCCGGCAAGCGATGCAGCGTGAAGCGTCGCACCGTTTTTTAAGCGTGCCTGTACTCACTCTCTCTCTCTTGCACACGCATGTGTTGTCTATATGTAGGAAACACTGTAATATCAAAATCCATGATTGAGCTCTGACTTGTGTCAACACCAGAGAAACACTTTATTTAGGCTCACCGTAAGTCGTTTAATGACGATCCTCCGAGAGTTGTGATTTGAGTCATCAGCTCGTCAATACAAAGCAAAACACATCCATTTGTCCGCCTTCAATTCAAAAGTACAAAATGTCATACTGTTTGCAAGTGAAACTGAAATTCGGTGTTCGTGCCTTTTAGAATTGCTCTCAAACCTAACATTTCACACTTCCCTTGATGGAATTCAGCAGTGTCTGTCTGTTCTCTTAGTTTTTAAACTGCTCATCCCCCCCATTGTGCAATGCAAACTTTCCCAACACGTAAAGAAGCCTAATGACATCACTATGACATCATCAAGAGTTACTTTGTAAGACCTAAGCAATGTAGCCTGACGGCCACAGAACACATTACAAAACTAATTTTACTGGTGCAAAAATACTAAATATACCCAGGAAACTTGGTTTTATGTGAAAACTCAATGAATTGTCCCTTTAAGATGACATTTTTGCAAACTTATTTCTGACCAAGATGCAGTTTAATCTGATGTAATGTTGCCTTGTCACACTTGGATGACCAGAGTGTAACAAGGCACCAGAGTATCCCATATAAGTACATGTTTGAATAAGAGTTGTCTTTTAAGGTCAATGTGCTAACTTCAGGTAGGGGTTTCAGTGGGGATAAGCAGTTATATAACAACATGTCACACATACACAACCACTCAGAGTTTGTGAATGATTGGATGATTCATACTGTGTTGTAGGAATCATGTTTTTGGAGCCCCTTGTATCTGTTGAGAAAACAAATATTCCTGCTTGTGCACACATAACTACACAAACACAAATAAAATTTGAAACAGGCTAAGTCCCCCAACCCAAGAAGTGGAATGGGGTGGGGTCACGCATACATAGCTATTCATAGACACAGCCACCTGTCAGGGGTTGTGGAGCCAGCTGAAAACCTGTGCCAAGCAAGTGTATCAAGGAAAACATATTCTAAATATAGACATGACTATAAAAGTACATGTTACGTTCCCCAAGATGGCTAGGGGATGAGGGGAGTAACAATAAATTAAAACCCAGGGAAAAGAAATAGGAACTAAATATAAGCACAGTTTAAAATGATTTATTAACAAACGAAATCAAAATGTGCAACACAAAACAAGCTTCTTCTAAAAAACAAAAGAGAAGCCAATTCAAAACTAACACTCAAGATATGAACAACAAGGCCTTAATCGGAACACAAAGCTTCCACAGAAGGAGCACACTAAAGTTTTCGTCAAAGACACACCCAGTCCAACAACCCACTGGCAACTGGCAGCCTCCTCTCTCCTGCTCTTTATAGTTTGCCCCTGATTAGTAATTAGCCACAGGTGATGCTGGGCACTCTGAGGCTGAGGAGCAACACCTGGGGAGCACACACAGGAGAGAGAGCACAAACACACAAAACTGCAGCACATAACAGTACATTTGGATTGAAGTAGAGGTTAGGCTGCTGTTTGTGCTTTGGAATGGTGAATGGACTTAAGCTTGTAATGCACTAGTCTTCTGACTAATCAAAGGATGACCATCAGAAGTAACTAATCTCACTCCAGCATCAGGAGGAATTGTTGTCCTGCCAAGAACAGCAGACATGTTGCTGCAGGAGTTGGGGCTCAAACCCCCAACCTTGCGGTTGAGAGACCAACAACTTTACTGACTGAGCCACAGCGGTCATGTGTTATTTTGTCATAACGAAGTTAAAATTAAAGAATTGAAACAACAATGATAGGCGTTCATTTTAATTGCTAGACTGTACTCCCAATCAATCTCTGTTGACCTGTATTATATGATCTTTCTTTTCAGGATTCAGAGGTTCAGAGATGTGGAACCCAAACACTGAGCTGAGTGAGGACTGTCTGTATTTAAACGTGTGGGCTCCACGGTTAAACAAAACCCAGAATAATAACTCGGGACCAGCTCCCGTCCTCGTCTGGATCTATGGAGGCGGGTTCAATGGAGGAACATCCTCTCTGGACATATATGATGGCCGCTTTCTTAGCAAATCTGAAGGTGTGGTCGTGGTATCAATGAATTACAGGTAAGGATTAAAATAGCCCTTTGTTATATAATATTTTGGCATAAAGCTTAAAACTGGATTTGGAAACTGAAAGATATGGGAATCTTATTTGAGCAGGTTTTCTCCTATCTAACCGTTATGACATTGGATGCCTGCCTATATTGAATGTTTTATGAAGACAAATGTCCTATATAATGGTATCTTGGTGCTCAAAGTAGAAAAAAGGAATCTGTCAACAGGAAGTCCTTATCATTACTGGCACTACCTGTTTCTTTGCAGACGGCTTACTACCATATCATCGGAAGTAACTGAAGGTCTTATTTATAATTTCCTCATTCCTTGTCTATGACAGACTTGGAGCTTGGGGTTTCCTGTCTCTCCCTGACAACAAGAACATCCGAGGAAATGCGGGCTTGCTGGACCAGCGATTGGCCCTCCAGTGGGTAGTCGATAACATTGCTGCATTTGGAGGTGATCCGTCAAAGGTAAGGTGATTGGGCCTCCTAACCTCAAGTCACATGATACTATTTGTTTACATTGTCAAATCCAAAAATACACACAGATATTAGATTGTACTGTTCATTCCAGGTGACTCTGTTTGGAGAGAGCGCTGGGTCAGCGTCAGTGGGCTTTCAGCTGCTCTCACCAGGCAGCCAAGGTCTATTTCAGCGGGCTGTGATGCAGAGTGGCTCTCCTAATGCACCCTGGGCCACAATCAGCCAGGATGAGGCCTGGCAACGGTAGGGTGTATTAATTCAGTCAGTAATAACATTTATTTAGGTACTGGTTTACCTCTGAATCCCTCATCCATTTGTATGATATGCAATGAAATCCAGAGTTATAGAGAAGACGACTAAAAACAGAAGCAACCTGCCAGCTGTAGCTAACACTAGCCTGAAGTACATTTACATCAGGATGCTAACTTGCATTATTAATGCAGCTTGGTCTGACAGTCCTTATCTTCTCTATCCATCTTATTGTCCTCATTATCAGCTGATTAGCATGACATTGTTTTATTTCACTGAATATAATTGATCATTATAATAAGTCCAAGTGCAACAATAATTAAATTGCCCAACAAGCAGCAAAGGTCAACAATCATCAACACGTTCGTCACCAGAATGTCATTACTCAGATAAGATCGACCAGATTGATGTCTCCATTTGTATTTAATACAGTTTTTATTCCATAAAAGATTTCATCACATATTTCTTGGGGGAGTAAGAGTTTAGCAGAAGCTCTCAGTGATTGCCTTGCTTCTCCTCTATGTGTCATGATACAGGTCTTTGAAGCTAGCTGCCTTGCTTGGGTGTCCCACATCTAATGGAGCTCAACTGGAAGCGTGTCTGCAGAAGGTTGATGCTTGGAAATTGACATCAAAGACATTTGATGTTTTCACTAAGCCATTACTTGTAGCTTTACCCTTTGTCCCTGTTGTGGATGGGGACTTTCTACCGGATACAGTTGAAGTACGTATGTTTCTGTATGTGGGAGAAGACTCAGACCGGTCATTATTTGATAAATGTCTTTGTTGCACATAATATTACAAATACTTATTGTATTTTTTAAATTGTACATTGTGGTAAATGTCAATAGCAAAAGCATTTACTTAGATTTCGCATCACTTTCATTTCCATTTGCCACAAGCTTTTGACACTGAGATACAGATGACAGTTGAATTTAAATCAAAAGTTATCTTGCTACAATTCTACAATGGAGTTAGCAGACACTTTTGTCCTAAGCTACATACACATCAGAGGGTGAGTTGTACACATGCATGGATCTAGAGAGAAGAAAATAATGATGGTTAGTGGTAATGAACAGCTTTAAGTCTAATCTCCTATTCATTTATTTTTATTTTATAAGTGGGGCTGATGCATACTTTGACTGACCAACTGTATCCTGGTTTTCCTCTCCAGGCGTTGCTGAGTTCTGGGAACCTCCGTAAGCAGGAGTTGTTGTTTGGCCTAAACAAGGATGAGGGGACCTACTTCCTTATGTATGGTGTGCCTGGTTTTAGCCTCACAGGCGAGAGTCTTATTACCAGAAAGGATTTCCTGAATGCAGTTGGCCTTGCGATGTCAGATTCAAGTGCTGTTGCAAGAGAAGCTGCAATTTTCGAGTACACAGATTGGAGTGATGAGAATAACAGAATTAAAAATCGGGACTTGCTGGGTAGTCTGGTTGGAGACCAAATGTTCTGTTCTCACCTGGAGTTCGCTGAAAGGTAAAGAACAATTCTTAGTTTTAACAATGTGGTATTCATGAAAGTTGAACTATTGTTTAAAGGTGATGGTAAGAATTCCACAAATGGACTGAGAAGCAAGGTTTTGAAAGAGACAAAGGGAAAGTTGCTTAAAGTCCCTGTGAATTAAATAATACATTGTCCTGAATTTAATCCAATGCTTCTGTGTTAAAATCTTGATTTATGTATTTCAGTTAAGCATTATCTGAGTTTTTTTTTTTTTTCATCAATATAACCGTATTCTTTCTTCCTGTTAAATGTTTCAAATGTCTGAGGACTCAGGGGCGTTTACTTATTTTTTTTGACAAATTATAAAGCTTTATAGAAGCTAATGATCCAATCCTAAAGTCCCACCCAAGCGGAAACCTCCAGTGCTGTAAAATAAAAGTTGATGTGAAGTGCAAAATCCTGCAGTTTGTTGAGTATCCACTTGAGGCTGGCTGCAGAACTTAAATACACACTAATTGAAAAATGCTAATTTTTATAGCAGAAATCAATGTTTACAGCCTGGTACAAATAACAAAATTGGTCTAATTAGCTCATGTCGATCAGCACATACTGTAAAGGGGTTGAATTTTCAATTGTTCTGATTTTATGAAGGATAAGCTTTATTCACAGTAAGGTGCATAGCTCACCTGATTGACAGATGGGTGCGATGTATCGGTTTCTTAAGAGGCTTAAAAACATGCATCATGTCGAGCTCTCAACCTGTTGTTAGATCGAGTTAAGGTTAGGTTGAGACAACATTTCCAGCATGATGACAGCCATTAATGGGACTCCGAAGCCCCCTGCAGTAACAGATGAGTGACTTCACTCTATGGTCTTTTCTTCTATCTTGTGATTGTTTCTATAATAATAATACATTTTACTTACAAGCACTTTTAAAAAAAAAAACTCCAAGACACTGTACATTTGTTAAAAAAAAAAGGCAGAAGGATCAGAACAGTATAAACTAACAGACATTGCAACATTAGTTTTGTTTTAGTTGGAAATACGTAACATTATGATTACATTAGTTAGATACTCTCCAAGTTTCATGTCATGGGACTTTAAGATCGCAATACTCGATCACAAGGTTATTAAATACATTTTCATTATGTTTATCAAAAATACTTAAATATTGTATTTTATTCCCCAGGTACTCAAAGCGTGGCGGGAAGAGTTTCCTTTATTCATTTGACCACCTTTCATCTGTCAATCCCTGGCCAGAATGGATGGGTGTTATGCACGGCTATGAGATAGAATTTGTCTTTGGCATGCCTTTGAATGTGTCCCTGGGATACACAAAGAACGAGGTGAACATGACCAAGAAGTTCATGAAACACTGGGCCAACTTTGCAAGGACAGGGTGAGCATAATCAGATCGACAATCAGTCCCTCCAGCAGAGAGAGGACCCCTCGTGAAACTGATGAGATGCCTTGATTGGGTTTTCTTTTTGTCAGGAATCCCGGCATTGATGGAGCTGTGTGGCCCATGTTCAGCCCTGAACAGCAACAATATGTCACTCTGAACTACAACCACCCGGAACAAAAGAGGATGATGAGGGCTAAAGAGTGTCACCTTTGGAACAAACTGATGCCAAGTATACAGAAAGTCTCAGGTTAGAAACAAATACATCTATCCATCTATCCATCTATCTATCTATCTATCTATCACTTATGTAGTACATTCATAATAGTAAGCCTATCTTAAGTAGGAGGCATTGCGTCACACTCTGTTAGAGAGGTGTTTTGCTGTGTTTAGCCTGTAGAGGAAATGTGTATCCCGGCTTGCTCCCCCTCAGCTCTGTCATTCCTGTAGGTCTGAGTGGGAGGAGTGGACGCTAAGTCATCACTTCACTGAGCACTGATCACACACAGGATGATGAATAATACTCATAACCCTCCCCACATAAGCTTTTATTCACACTCAGGTACATCGGTACACTTCACATTTGCACATTTACACAAGGTAATAACAAGTAAATGATGGAGCTGTCTCATTTTTGTTTGTTTTGTATCACTCTTTTCCTCAATTAATTGAATTGAATTTATTTTACTGGTAAAGGGATCGTGTTCAATACTAAATCAAATTGTTGCCATTTGATACGTTGTACCAGAGTTAGCTTAAACCTAATTTACATCTGCAGTCCCTTGGCAGGTCATGAATGACATCTTCACTGTCATTTATAATGCCAGTGCTGGGCACACTTCCATTGATCCGTGAAACATTAATTATATGCACTCATTTTTTTGTGCCTTTATTGTAGAGATAGGACAGTGGATAGAGTATGAAACAAACGAGTGAGAGAGTGGGGAACGACACTCAGGAGCCACTGGTCAGACTCGAACCCCGGTCATCAACTCCTAGAAGCCCAGCCTCTGTACATGGGGCATGTGTACCAACCACCACACCACCAGGACCCAGTCATTTAAATTATTATAATTTGAAAAAGATAATCATTACTTAAATTTGGCTTCCATTTACACCCAAACCCTGCGATTATACGATCATTACAATACACTTTATTGTCCCCTTGGGGAATTTTTTCTTGGACTCAAAGTGCTGCCAAACATTCCTCTGCTTCCACTCAATCAATAAATAAAAAGAATAGAAAAACCACATCCACACATAACGGAAACATAGACAACCTGGGCAAGAGCGTAGCGCCTCCTTTATTTTAGAGAGCTCAGTGAATAACAAGCCAAAATGCCTGTTAACCAAACTAACTGGGTCAACTACTATGATGCTTTTCATATGTTCAACATTGTTAAACATATTCAAAGTTAACAAAGAAACATTTTTGATTAACTGAGCCGTCCTCTGATTGTAGTTGAAAGGATAATGTAACTACATATCTCATCCTGTTATTACTATTTAAATGGGGTAGCTATATTAATATATGTTGTTTGACACATTTACATAATATAACAAACTCCTGTTGAAAACAACTATATAACAGTCTCATTGTCTCCTCTTTTTCAACAGATGATCTGCTGTCCTGTGTCACAGCAAATGGGATTGTGCTCTGCTGTAACAACATTTTCCTCATTATTCTACTGGCTATGACTTTAATCTGTCTTTAGACTGAAGATACCTGCCTGGACTCATACGCTGCCATAGACATTACAACAGTTTACATCACAAAGCAGTAGACAGAAAGAATGTTCAATAACCCTTTATTTTTGTTTGCTGATAGTTGTAAGTTGTTTATAGTCCGTTTTGAGTTTGAGGTATAGTTGAAGAAACGCTTAACATGGTATTTACTTTGTACTTATGCCCTTTGCTAATGGACCATTGGCAGAAAAAAAACTCATGTTTGATGCAACTATTCCTCCAATAACCAGTAACCAGATGCTTTGCTTTGATTGCAGTAATATTTGAGCTCTTCAGGAACATGATTTAATCATGATAAATGTTTATGGTGTTTGTGATACAAGAAGTGCTTTAAGTTTTTCATCTGCATGCGTTGCTACTGCAAGTGCTACTTTTTTTTTTCATAATTGTTATTTTTTTCAATTTGAAAGTATTACGATGACGTATACAGGAAATGCTGTTAGGTGCACTTGTCTGGTATGAATCAGGAGTTGGTTCTTCAACACAATGCAATCGACTCAGGGAAAAAAAAGAGATATAACAAGTGACTGACATCATGCAGAAAATGAGGCTGATGCAGAAATGATGTCTGTGTTTTATGTTTTTTGTAAATTAATTCATCTCAAAGACAATCAAGAGAGTTTTGGATTCGTATCGGTGTATTATCTGCAGTATTAAAAAATAAAGACCATGGAAAGATCAATAAACAAGGATATCTATTCAATAGTAGATTCTACATATCAATGAAGTTAATTTGTTATATATACACAAATGTGCCTCCACAACCACATGATGGAAACCCCAACCTTTCTTTTGTTTTCAACAGGTTTGCATTTGCTTCATCATATGATATGATATGCATTTTGCATATCATCCATTTTATTGTATTGCACCGCGGGACAGAGACAAACGCAATTTCGATTCCACTGTATGTCTGGCATATTTTGAAATTGACAATAAAGTTGACTTTGACTTTGATATCAGGGAAGGAATGAAGTTATTTTTGTATTTCCTGCACTCGTTATAATATTGATAGTATTTTCAATTAGACTCCTCCCGCAGGAAAAACACATATCTTTATTTTCATTTTCAATGCGAGAGCCCATGACATGTGGTGTTATGACCTGATGTGTTTGACAACTTCTGTACATCCTTACAGTTTCTCTGTTTATTTGACTCAATTCTTGAATAAAAGTTCAAATCATCAAAACATTATTTACAACTTTTCACCATCATTTATTACTTGTGATATTGGTTAATGGTTCCGGATAGACGTATACAATTGCAACAATTCTTAATGTTTATGTCATTGGGATCAAAATAAATTAAATCTGATATGTAGTCATCTGCGTCTGCTAAACTGACATGTTCATAATTGCAAAAAGCCACAGGATGTCCATCGACCCCTTCACTTTAACTTCACATTGTTACTGTAGCAAACTATATTTTGTTTCTCTAATCATTTTATCTAGTGATGATATAATACTTGTTGTCTCTATGCACTGCTGTGTATATTTTCTTTATTTCCAGCTAACTTTACTGTGTTGTCTCACTTTGCAGGAAAAATTCAAAATGGTTGTCCTTAGTTGCTCTTACAGAGGTGATATGTAAAATCATACCGTCTCAACTGGATCTGAAATGTTACTGTAAATGTCAAACGTTTCCATCTGTTGTGACATGGTGCTATATGAAGGTGTTATACAATGTATTGACTATAATAGTTTTCTTTACAAATTGAAATGTGAAACATTGGATGCTTGAAACCAGCATCTGGGTTTTAGATTTAGAAAATAAAAACTGTCTGATGCAGTTAGTATTCACCAGTAAAAACATTTTGTATGTGAATTTGGAAATGTGGATATGTTGAACACGTTCCATCATTCTAACAAAATATCCAAACATTTTGATGACCTTGGTTCTGCAAAATGTCAAGGTAATGTGCCATTTCTGTGACCGTGAGTCAACTATTGTTATAAACACCTCATGAATTAAAGGCTTGTTTGAGCTGTACCCTTCTGACTGGTTAACTGTAATATTTTGTTGCACATTTGAGCTGTTTTTGGGAATGCGTCATCTGAGTAGACTATTTAAAAATGTTTCAATAAGCGTGCCAAAGCTATGGAGAAAAAACTGTAAGTGTGTTCGCACCAGGCAGACCTTCCTTAAACACATGCTATATGGCAACAGGAACCTTTGCTTATCATGTGTGATTTTCAGTTACAATGGGAAACAGTGTCAGGCCTGATATCTAATCTTGTCATCTGAAGTGTGGACAGTTTAGCACAATGGTGTTTGTTTCTTGTTCTGTCATTGAAGACAGTAATGTGATAATTAACAGTGTCACTGACAAAAAAAAAAGCTGAGGTGTTGGAGAGACATGAAATGCTTTGGTTTGAATGACCTTGAATCCTGTTTTAATAATTTAGTAAAAAAACTGAGTGCGTGCATGTTAGTGGAAGGGGCTTATTCAGCAAAGGTGGTCTGTAGAGACAGGACCACACGCATTGGCAGTGACATCACCGCACTCACCTTGTTGAAGTTTGGTATTTCCAAAGACATTCACATTGTCTTTAGTGTGCCGCATCCATTATGGATGAAGACAAAGACAGTGAGCTGAAGACAAGAGTCAGTGTGTGTGACTAACAGGAAGAAAGTCAGAGAGACAAAAAGACAACAAAGAACAGGTTTACTAAAGAGACCTTTGTATACAATTACAAGTATTTAAAGGTACAGTTCAGGAGTAGTTTAAGCCTGAGCTAACCAGCTTAAATATATCAAGTCAAGATTTTTCTTCCCAATTGTCATGACCACACGGGTTAAGAGAAGATGAAAATAAAGAGAATCAGTGGATTTTTGTCAGTTAGTAAGTAAGTTTATTTATGTAGTACTTTTCACAGACAAAGGTCACACAGGGCTTTACATCAACAAAAGACAACATACGTATAATAAAAACAGGAACAAATGAATACTTCATGGACCGACATTATTAAATCCTGCTATGATCAGGGACAATAATTGACACAGTAAAACATAGATTACCTATAGGCCTGTCTAAACATCAACGTTTTTAGCTGCTTTTAAAAGACTCAACAGAGTCAGAGACATAACGAGGTGGGCAGGAGATTCCGAAGGACTGGGGCTATGGCCTGAAACGCACCTTAAAATGTGTCTGTGGGACACGCAGCACGTGTAGGGTGTTCGACCTTAGTGAACGGGTGGTTGAATATGGGTGAATGAGTTGTTCGACCTTTCCCCTGCTCCTCAAGTGGGAATGAGACAGTGGAACTGGACAGCAGGAGTTTTGTCCTTGCCTTCATCTATTTTGTATTGTTTTGGCTCTCCATGTGACACAGCAGGCAGAAAGGTTTGATGGTTGGCCACATTCTACACATATTACAACAACAATGTTCAGCAGTAAAGAGTCTCCCATTGAACATGTTTGGTGTAAAATAAGACAAAAGTGACCCCAATCGTTCAGCTGAAATCCTACAATAAGCAAGAATGGTTAAACCAAACACAGAAACAATTCTCTTTAGTTCCCAAAACGCTTACAATTTGAACTGAAATTAAAATTGACCAGTTTTTAAGAAAAGTGCTCCTGTGGTGAAATTCAAAATGGGCTTATAGTTTTCAAAAAATGACAGTTTCAGTTTTAACATGTGTGTCATTTTCAATTACATATGAAGTTTCAATTGTTTGCACTTTTGTCTGTTTTTATTTATATTTCACAGAACATCTCAATATTTATGAATTGGGGTTGTATATTTAACATGTCACCCTCTTTTTCCAGTGGTGCAAAGTAATGCTTACATTTGTTTATGAAAAGTAGCCTTGTGCTGAGGCTTTTAAAAAACGTCACAATGTCGGTATTTGACAATAATTGAAGTGCAAAATTGTTTGATTGGTATAATTAAAAGGATCATAGCTGTCTTAGGCCCCGTGTCTACCAAGCATTTTTTGGTGAATTTTCCCTTAATACCCTTTACGCTATTGTCTGTTAATAGCTACACATTTGACTTAATTTGTGCTTATGCTAGAGATATAGCTCGATTTTTTCCAGGTTGAATAACTGTAAAGAAGCTGAACAGTTATATTATAAATAATATATAAATACAAATTAAAATTGCTAAATATTTGGCTATATGTTCTTATTTTTGTTTTCTCCTGTATGATTGCACTTGAGAAAACAATACTCATTAAAAACTTAATGAGTTTTTTGCAGTTTGCAAAATTATATTTATTTGCAAACTGCTTCACAAGAGTTTTAACTCATGTCAGTGCCACACTTTAGTACTCTGACATGACACTTTGACAGGTATCAGGGGTGAACTGTGATTAATGGACATGACACTGACAGCTCCATTAAGAGGACAACACCTTCCACTGGGTGCCATGTGAAATTACTACTACCAACCCCAGTAGGCAATTCGTAGCATTTATTGTAATGTGGTGAAATACTCTATAGCCATTTTCAACTACTCACTCCTAAAAGTATGTAGATAATTACAGGAGGACTGCTCCGGAGAATCTCCTGACCTGTCTGTTCGCATATGCACCTCACAGCGAGAGACTATCCCCGTCAGACTGGAGGGTCGGCGGGGGGTCAAAGCGGACGAAGCAACAGAGTCCGCTATACGACCCGTAATGAGAATATTTGCCTTTATATCAATGCTACGTGTAGTCCAACAGAATGAAAACATCAACAAAAGAGCAGCGAACAACATACTGGCAAACAGAAAATGTAATGCAGTTGTTTAATTACGTGCACAGAGATTGTAGTGGTCGCATGTATCCATTTTATGCGCGATGCAGCAGTAACAGTATAGAAACGTCACTCCCCCTCCTATTGGCTTGAGCTGAATTCTCCGAAAAAAACATCCTGCTGCGTTCTCAATCAGCTTACTCAGACATGCTATGGAAAACTATGGATCTGGCAGGAGACACTCCAGGTGAAGTCCAAGCAAAAAATTTTGGCCGTTTGCGTTCAAATATACAGCTTCTAAAGGAAATATCCTGAGTTTGAAAGAGTGAAAGCCCTATATGTGTCTGATTCATTACGTGTTCTGCTATAATCAGCTTTATAGCTTTGCTGTGGAAACGTACTAAAGTTTATTCGTGTTCTGTTTTTTGTAGACTTATTCTTTTTCAGAGTAAGACTAATCCCATGTGCTTCCAGACACAGAGACATGTCTCTTCATAAAATGTGTTCTCATTGGCTCTGTCCCTTCTGCAAGTATTCAGTGACAGGATGGATACAATGGCAGGATAGGGATTGGGCAGGGTTCTTTTATACTTTGGCTCATATGCTACATGGCCTTCATGTGCAGATAAGTTCATTTCTGTCCCAACGAAACACAATAATGAGGTAACACGGTGAGATACAAGCATATAGAAAACTACAGCAATGAAATGACTTGGGACGGCAAAGACTGAGGGTCAAATATTTGAGACGGCTAAATGTCCAGAAATCCAAGTATTTACTCTAACCCCCAATTCACACATACTCCGGGCTCGCCGCGGTCCGTCAGCGCCGCGCACTACGCCGTACTTAGCCTCCACTCTAGTCAATCATTGTGTTCACACAGCACGCTGTGGTCCTTCTCAGGACACAATATATTCGGATGCAACTGTATTTTTCATCACTTTATCAAGATTATGTCAAACAGGCACCGAATGAGCAACAAATCATCCTCAGAAATACAAAGCAAAACATTGTTTGCACATTTTTCTATTTATTCCTGCGTGATCTTGTAGTTCTCCTGTGATGTGTGTACATCTGATCATGCGTGCGCTGACGTTCCAGAAACGGATCCAGTGTGAATGGGCGCAATACCGTGCGCACGGAGTATGTGTGAATTGGGGGAAATGAATGTATCAATGTCATTGTTTTGATTCACACCATGTCACATGTTTTTATGTGAAGGATTGTAGTTACATGATGGGAGTGTTATTTCCAACATAGCAAACTCAAATGGAATGTAGATCTAAAACAAAGGATATCAAGAAAATATTTTCAACAACATCAGTACAACAAAAAGCAGCGTGTCTAACCAAAAGCCTTATTCACCTTCAAGAGTTTTGTGTCATCATGAAGTCACAATCATGTTAAACCCATAAAAAAGCAGCATCCAGCAGGTTAATCCAATAATAAGAAACATTTCAGACATCCCCTGAAGTTAACAACCCCCACAAAAAACAACTCTTTAACACCATGG